TTCGAGAGGTGAAGAACTTGCAGAAAACAGGTGTTCCTGCGCTTTAGAAAGACATACAGAGAGAGAGACACATACACACACAGACATAGATACACACACACAGAGACCCACACACTGCCTCAACACACTCGACTTAACACTTCACACTGAACACTTATAACACACTTAACAGATAACTCGCACTCTGACTTCCTACGTGATGAAAAATGCTTTCGGGCCACTCGTCGTCTAGTTTGTTGCTCTTTTTTTGCTTTTCTTGAACGTTGCTATTTTGTGTTTGCTTTTCATGCACGCACTTTTTCTGCACTTTTTTTGCACTTTTCTTGTTTCCCATACTCCCATAGAAGTTGGCTAACTGGCCAACATAACCATATCCCCACCCTCTGAGGTACCGTGATGTGTTCCACACTGGTGATGGTGCCAGTTGGTCGGGTTTTTGCGCCTCTGTTGTACCAAAGTTGAGAAGGCTCCCTGAGGTGGTAGTGGAGAGCCCCCCAGGGCGGGCCAAAGTGGCCAAGGCGCCAGGTAATGGTGCCCAACTCTGTGATCACACCGTGAGGATTCGTGGAGCCTCGATCGCACCACGCTTCGCGCACGCCACGAGCGTGGTACGTGGTGGACGGTGCCGGCGCACGATCCAAAGGGACGAAACAGCAGAATTGGTGCAGCACTCGAGTTTGAAACAAAATTGAAAGACAAACAGCTCAAAAGCTCATAGCGTCTGCAGTTTCAATGAAAAAACAGTACAACATACTACGCAACAGTCTCCCTCGGTATCTAAATCTACGCCTCTCCCCCCACGCCTCTCCCCGAGGAGTGCATGACCTGGTCCGACCCGTCTCGCTGGTCTCGACCACCCACCAGCCGGGGACCGGTCTCGACCGTCCGACCCAGCAAGGCACCGCTGTACTGCGCGCCGTTCACGGTCAGAAAGTCGTAGTTGGCCTCAAAGCACGGTGCTCGCGGATCCGGTCAGGGTGGTCACCGCTGGTACTGAGTGCCGGATCCGCTGTACGGGTCAGCACGGTGGTCGCTGTTCTCCGTTCTCTCTTTTTGTGTGGTGTGTGTGTGTGTGACTTGCCCCTGTTTTGAGAGAAGACTGAACTGGCATTGATTCGGCATTGATGTATATTTCAAGAAAGGTCCTTTGGATCACTTGTCACCCAAAGAAGCTGTCGAAGCTGTAGTCAGTCTAGCTGACGTAGTCAGTCTCGTGAAGCTCCCGACTCGGCGAGTTCTCGCCGCGGTCGCGACCCGAGTCGAGTCCATTTGTGAGAGCCCGCGGGGAGTCTGTGCCGTGCCTCCACTTGGAAATCCAGCACCTCCATCTTCACCTGTTGAAGTCTCCATCCATTCACAGAACTGCCAGGTGTGGTGATGAACAAGACCAATTGAACATCACATCAAGAACCCTCCAAGTCTCGCTGGACATTTCACGTTGGATGGCGATGTGTTGTTCTCATGTCCCAGACACTCCATGTATACCATATATGCCTACATTGACCCCCAAAACCACCCCAATGTAGGTATATAAATATACCATACATGGAGTGTCTGGTTGTTGCTGTTGTTGTTTAACGTTTCACGAGAGCTCCACCCGGTGACCGGCAGAGTAACGTCCGCCCGCGCCGTCCCATCACCCGGTCGTGTGTGAGGACCTCAGCAGTTCTTGACCGAGAAAAGGCCACCCATGTGGTTGACCCTGGGGTCAATGTATGTATTATATTATGGTATTAAGGATTCCAGTCCATGCAGTCCCAAAACTCCGTATCATATACATTGCCATATATAATTGGATTCCAGAATCATATATTACCATGTAACATGCCATATATTACCTACGTTACATTGACCCCAGGGTCAACCACCCCTGGCCTTCTCTCAGTCAAAACATGCCAAATCCCTTCACTTGTGTCTGGGCCATGGAGCATGAACGAGGCCTCGTTCCAAAAACAAGCCAGTGGCCAATCTAAATGGGATGTTTCAAAAACCCTTTTGAGTGTGTTTTTTCTTTTAAACAGTGTTGTAATTCTCATATGACATATGCATCACAATCTCGTATGTCTTCTGCGTGGCCATCCTGGTCGATCCCCACCAGGCCGGATCGGCGGAGTCTGAACCCAGCTCGAGCTGAAGCCGGAGCAACAGCGAGCGCCGGGCCTTCTGTTGAACCTCCCAGGTGCAGTGCTGGTTATTCTTGTAGGTTCTGTACCTGTTGGCACCTGGGAGAATGCGAAGCCACCTCTGGTGGCAGCCCTGCCTGTGCCTGAAGCCCCCAAAATAGGGGCATGGTGGGCATGGGTGGGAGCTTGGAGAGGGGCCCCAACATGCTGGCTGAACCATCTCTCCACGTGTCTCACCCACAGCTTCAAATCTATGACTAAATCTGCTCAAAATAGTCATGACTCATACCCGCGGAGTAGTGGTTCTAAAAGCAACTCTCTAACAGATATAGACGTGTGGAAAAAAACAGGAAAAACAAAATTGGTGTCTGTCTTCACCAATGCCAATACAGGATTTAGTGAATGTTAAGCCTTTGCACATGGAGGAAGGGTCGAAAACTTGTCAACCTTTTGGCCTCCAATGGGCCTCTGGAACGACCCTTCTCCAGCCTGGGCCTGGGGGGACCACAGGAAGGCAGCGTACATTGGAAAAGAAAAAGCTTAGGACCACTCACATTCTGCTGGCAAACGAGGCCAAGAGATGCCAAGAGATCTTATTTTGGGAGCTTCTCCGGGTGTAAAACACCGAAAGCTCCACGTGGAGCCGCAATTGAAGATCTTTGGCACATCACAATGCACTGGTGGTGAGTTTGCACAAGAGTCTAACTCAAGAGGGCACGGTCAACAGGCACTGGACTCCTGGAACCTCTAGCTACTTTCGCGTTGTGGTCCTGAGGATTCTTTCAGTGGTTTGGGCCGATTTGGGAAGAAGATGGAAGAAGCTACTACTTCCCGTCACCAATAAGAAAAACCCAACTCTACCACTGGCAGACTCAACCTATCTTACATACACTCCCTGAAATGATCATGGAAGTAGATGGCATGGCCCCAAAAGGATTAATGTTGGATCACGATTAGTAAAGGGGACTTCTATAATGCTAAATTTCCAAAATTATTCAGACCCCCCTGTTTGAAAAATGGTACCTCTATAATGCTAATCTTTTTTTTGGCCCTAAATCGTTAAATTGGAAACCCAATTAATGAGGGTTTGAATTCCTTCTGAACCCTGTCCACCTGCACTCCCCCTCCCTTCCTTCTGAACCCAATTAAACCCTTTATAAAACATTGCTCCTAAACAAATT